TGCCATCAGTTCCTTGTACTTCAAAATAAGCAGGCTTTTATGTTACACTTGGGCTTCAGCTCTCTCATAACAGAACCAAACTTTCTGTACTTCTGTCTAATGAAAACAATTGTCCCTTAGTAAAAAAAAAGTCAATAAAAGTTGCCACTGCTCCGATTGTTGATTTAGGCCAATGCAACCTCTAATGAATGATATGCATCTGATTTGCTAAGAAGGGTCTGATCCCTGAAATCTCTACTTGGACAAAATCAATGCTGAAAACAAGAGGATTCTGCTGAATTCTGTCCTGTCTCTAGTGCTCTGTACTGTCTTTCAAGTGCTTGTCCACAGGATCAACAGTACACCAGGTTAAGCACATGCACAGTTAGAGACTCTGTAAATGGAAATTTCCTTGGGCCATGATCATTGTCAGCTTACCAGAAGGCAGTGGGATTGATTCTCCTCACACCTACAGATGTGTAAACCAGGAACAAAGGAAGGAAATCACTAGAATTGTTACCAGGAACAGTATGTTAGCCTTCAGTAAGCCAGGCTGTGAATTTCCAGCATTCACGTACTAAGAGTTTTGTAGCACGTGGCCACACTCTGCCCAGCCACCCACTGCAAAGCAGGGGCAGTTCCATTACATTTAATGATTACTAAAGGCTTATCTGTCTGAATGAACTTGTGAGGCAGATGAGGTAAACTGCATTAAGCCCCATTGTGTCCAGAATTAAAGCAGCCTTAATTCAATTCAGCTTACTTTCCTTCCAAAAAGAATGACTCCAAATCAGATTAAGGCTGCTTTTATACTGTAACAGAATGTCCATGCTGGGCTTTAAAGCAGTTTAACAAATCTACTTTAAATGCACACCTTTCATTAATTCGGATTAGCTTTCCTGAAGTCCCCAGTGGAGATAAGGCTTAAGAGAGTCCATGCAGGGAATATGCATGGGTTTGCTAGGATGCTGTGAATTCACACCCTGGCTTACTGTGTGCTAACTTACTCATGAAGACAAGTGAATCCAGTTCACTGTCTCTGCTGAAGCTGCCACACAGAAGATCTGAGCTCTTGACAGTCTGGCAGCAACCTCTCAGTTCTGTGAAGGAAGGGGGTACAGGGCCTTTCATTTTCACTATTTCCCTTGCTCTTCTGCCTGTTCGCTACTGCTCTATAGCTAAGGATGGCAGGACTAGATGGGGAATTTTGGCAGCAATACCAGCCTATGGGATTCCTGCCCACTGCCTCTCCACTTCATTCCTGCCTCAGCACTGCAGTGCACTGCTGCCTCACTAGTGCCAGATAAGTTCATCCCTCATCCCATTCACTGAGTGGATGAAGCAAAAGCTGTATGGGGGCAACTAAGAAGCACAAGGAGGCACAGAGCAGTGGCTGATAAAGGATGCTTGGGTAGTGACTCCTTGTGCTGGAATAGCCGCCTTGCCTCATCCATCTACAGCCCAACTAAGAGTGCCATATCTGCTGGTTTCTCTGTCCAGCATAACATGAGCATCACTTCTGGGAGGTCCCTACCAAATCAATGAAGGTATCTTGACTCTTTCAGAGATGCACTAAATTGGCCATCAGCTCATTTCCAGTCCTCTTCCACTGACATACACAACCCCATAGAGCTCATGCATGCCAAAAAGAAACATATGCCAAAAGGGGGAGGAAAAAGCAAAAGAAAACAGAAAAAGGAAAGAAAGAAAAGGATGCTTACTGGTAAGAGCAGAAAGTTAGTTAAGTGCACCTTCAGGCCTACAAAGACATTTCAGCACTCCTATGTAAAGGGACTAAGAGCTTTTTTTTTTGTTCTTGGTTTTTTTTTGTGTCAAACTTGTCAAAAATGCATGCCTATGCTACATGAGGTTAATTCCTGTACTTCATATGTATTGAGATCCTTTGCAGTGAGCTATAAATGGACAAAGCAACATTCAGGCTCCCCAAACCACATGGAGTCCTAACGATCCATCCTGGTCTGACAAAGAAGAATCACTGCATGCAGCACATTCCACTTTGCATATGCATAATGATTATTATTTTTATCATTAAAATAAGGAGTGCATACCCAAATGTAGCAGAAGTTGTACCCAAAGTGAGGCATCATTTCCCAGATACTACTTTCTGATCATCAGTCCCACAGCACTGAATTGATTATTGCTGTTTAGTTTAGTCAGTCAGTTGTTTTATAAGCTGAGTGCAGCATTCAAGTCCATTTTGATATGAGAAGTCATATCCTAGAATTCAAGAGTTTGGGAAGATCAGGACCACCAGAATTCAATGGGGACGGAGGTGTCCGATGAGCAGGGGTGTGAGCAGGGGACAGGAAGGATGCTTTACAACATTTACCTAGAGGATGTAATGCCCTGTTTTATATGATGTTTTGCAATTCTTGCAGGAGTTAGAGCTCCTTCAGCTCTTGATAGCTTTATCATCATTAAGATTCACAGAAGTCACATAGTGAGAAATAAAGTCAAGTCTTTCTGGAAACCTGGCAGGTCAGGCTTGTGCGTAACTGCAAAGTTAGGGCTGTTTTTCTAACTCCAAGTGCCTTGATTTTATATATGTGCTTGTCTGCATATGTGTGTGACACGCGTGCAGACACATATATATATTTATACACATATATACATATGTCAGAAAGATAGGGGAAGACAGGATCTGTACAATGCGGAAGAAGTGTTCAACAGCAGTTGGCACATGCTAAGTGCAGAATGAAGATTCTCAACTTTGTCCATTTGAAAAATAAAGATTAGTGCCTACGTTAGTTCAGATCAATGGTTATTCTCTTCCAGGGCCTAGCAGTCAAGGCTGGCATATTGCAGAAGATACCTTCTCCTCGTGTTGCTTCCTTCACCAGATGATGGTGGAAGTAGAGTAAGGTTAGCGACCAGAAAGAAGAACCTGACTCAAAGTATCTCTGATTGGGATTAAAGATCTGACAGACTGTCAAAAAAGGGCTGGAGGAGGCAGGGATGGGAAGGCATTGGGAAGCCTCTCCCACCTACCTGCCAGGGAATCCAAGTGAAAGAAAAGCACAGCCCTGCAGTCTGGTAGCCTGACTGGGTGATGCTGCAGTTCATGCTGGTCCTTAGTTCCTCCTGTGTCCTGCCATGCTGGGACAGGCTGCCAAAAAGCCATCTCAGGGAAAGGAAGGGCAGATACAACAATGGCAGCAGTGTCTCTATAAACAACCTAGGGAAACTTGAAGTCTTGCATAAACACAACTATGAGTTATTTGGCAGAAGCAAATGCTGAGCCCTGCAGCATTGGACTGGCTGGAGAAGGAAGGTATCCCATGGGCGCTGGTGGTCTCTGCCTGCCTCTTCTGCATCCCTCTCACTCACACTTGCTCGCTCTTTCTCTTACTCTACCTGCTTCTGTGCTGTGCCAGGAGGCTGCACAGAAGGCTCCTGATGGTGTGTTGGTGCCTTGCCCTTTCCTTCGCTATCTCTGATCAGCTCAGTTCCTGGAGGCACTTTCAGCATTTTAGGGGATGTAAGATAAAGGCACTGCGCGACTATCTAAATCAATCTGTTGAGTCTCTTCAGTGAGTTTTAGGGGAATACAAAAAAGTCTCAACTAATGACTGGCAAAAGAAACCAGCTGCTGCAATTTGGATGCATATAATAGCTAAGTTTCATTTACATTCTGAGAATGCACCAAAAAGCATGCATCTGCACCTTTCAGCTATAAAGGATACTAGGTTTCAGGTGTTGCTATATATAACTCGACTTCTTAATTTTCCATATAGCTTTCCCTTTAAGGGATGGGGTATGTTCCTTTCTGACAACGCCTGGACAAAAGCCAACACATTTCCCTGAGCAATGCAGGAAAACAATCAGGTTTCTCTAATCAGTTCATTCAGGCCCTCGGACTATGAAGCACTTTTTTATTTTGTTTTTATTGTTATTATTGTTATTAGTATTATTGAATTCATGCATTAATTAATTCAAGTTACACCTTAATCAAATAGGCCATAATGCTGAATATTTGAACATGCTTTGATCTCCAAAAGTTATTGTTCCCATTTGACTAACATACGCACTTAAATACAGTACTTTAAATTACTAGTCAACGATTTAATAAATTAAGGAGTGCACTTCTGGTGAATGCAAATCAAAAAGAAAAAGAAAATTAAAGAAAAAAAAAGAGAGATAAAGGACCTATTTTTAGAAGATTCAGTTCAAACGAAAGCTTATCCGCTATTGTCTGAGGTAACGTTTCAGGCATGCGATTATAAAATAAATAGTATCAAATTCAAACATGCTTATATTAAACTTCATTGTGCTATCTTGCAACAGAGGGGCTTAGAGTTTTGTATCCAGTTCTGGACAGGGAAAAGGAAAAGTGTATTTAAACCACCTGCATGTAAGAGAACTTAGCAGCATCGCAGATGTTTTGTCTTCAGCTTTGTTTGTTATTTTCATTTTAGAATACTTCTTCTATTGACAGGAAAAGAGACCAGGCTTAAATATGTTTTTAATAAGGTGCTGTGTAGATCTGTAGATTTGAAATATGTAATCTTTTACATAGGGGTAGAAGGAAAATTTTCACTCCTTCATAAAATCCATGGCAAATGCTTGGTTTTTGCTAATCTTTTTTTTAACTGTTACTGTCTGATGTACTTTCTTGCAACTGTGCAGTTTTGCAGAATATTTTTACTGGAATCCATGCATATGCTTTATAGCTCTAAAAACTGTCTTGCTTAGTTTAAGTTAACTTCATTTAAAAAGAAGGGGAGATGGGAGAGGAAAAGCTTAGGTCTAGCATAATACAGCTTAAAACTAAACTAGTTCAAATGGTTATTATTTACCAGGTGGAAAATGCTTTTTAAAAATAAACAAAATCTTATATTTCATGGATCCTGGAAGCTTCTTTATCGCTGAGCAAAAATTCGCAATGCAACAATGCATTTACGAGGTAAATAAAGCATTCAAAGACTATCAGTAAAGCATCTACAAAGTGTGACTGTGTCACTAAAGTCTTCAAGCTGTGAGTGGGGATTTTGGTTTTTTGTTTACACATCAGTCAGCAGCTTGCTTTTATTAACGCAGTTTTGGTTGGCTACAGTGCAGTTGCCAGTTCTGAGATTAGCCTCTCTAAAATTGTCTATGCTATTATTCATATCCTCTTCGATTTCCATGTACTCAGATTTGCTGATTGTGGAGGAGCTGCGGCGACTGAGATCACTGTCAGATGCTAAGTTAGGGGAGCTAACGTGAAGTAACTGAGCCTGTTCTTCCCCCTCTGTTTCTCGGTGGTAGAAGTAGTTGAAGTTGGACACGATGACAGGTACAGGCAGGGCAATTGTCAGCACACCAGCGATGGCACACAAGGAGCCTACGATTTTGCCTCCAATTGTCACAGGGTACATGTCACCATAGCCCACAGTGGTCATGGATACCACTGCCCACCAGAAAGCATCAGGGATACTTGTGAAATGAGACTCAGGTTCTTCAGCCTCAGCAAAATATACCGCACTAGAGAACAAGATCACCCCAATGAAGAGGAAGAAGATTAGTAAACCTAGCTCTCTCATACTTGCTTTGAGGGTCTGTCCCAAAATCTGGAGGCCCTTAGAGTGCCGGGAGAGTTTGAAGATTCGAAAGACTCTTACCAGTCTGATGACTCTCAGGATGGCCAAGGAGGTGGCCTGCTCTCCTTTCTGAGTCCCTTCCCGCTCGGCCATTTCGGTGCCCAGCGTGATGAAGTAAGGGATGATGGCCACAATGTCAATGAAGTTCATTATATTTTTGAAAAATTCAGTCTTGCTGGGGCAAGCAAAGAAGCGTACCACCAGCTCAAAGGAGAACCAGATGATGCACAGGGTCTCCACAACAAAGAAGGGATCTGTGAAGATGTTGGATTTGTAGACCTGGGTGGTGTTGTCAGTGCGATGCACTGTATACTCCTTGTCCTCCTTCAGCTCAGGTAATGTCTCTAGGCAGAAGATCACGATGGAGATGAGGATTACCATGACAGAGACTATTGCAATGACCCTTGCAGGCCCAGAGCTCTCTGGGTATTCAAAGAGGAGCCATACTTGGCGCTGGTACTCCCCCTCCGGCAAGGGTCTCTCCTCATCTTTGATGAATCCTTCATCTTCCCGGAACTTCTCCATGGCCTCCTCACCCAGCTCATAAAATTTGATCTCCTCAGAGAACATGTCCAAGGGCACATTGACTGGCCGGCGAAGCCGCCCCCCAGACTGATAGTAGTAGAGGATAGCATCAAAGCTGGGCCGATTCCGGTCAAAGAAGTACTCGTTGCGCAAGGGGTCAAAGTACCGCATGCGCTTCTTGGGGTTACCCAGCAGGGTGTTAGGGAACTGGGCTAAGGTCTTCAGCTGCGTCTCAAAGCGTAGTCCAGCAATGTTTATCACTACGCGCTCACAGCACTCATGGTCATCATGGGCAGCTGGCTGGTAGCTATCCTGGGGGTGGCCAGGTAGCGCAGAAGTCTCATCCATGTTCTCTCCAGCCATCACGGTCATGGTGGCACAGGGGAAGGGGGACCCAGTGGCAGTGGAAGAGAAGTGAGGGAGAGGGGCTTGAGAGTGGGGAGGAGAATGGAGGAGAACACAGAGGCCCAGGGCAGTTCAGTGGAGGGGAGGGGGTGGGAGGGAGGTTCGGAATCTGAAGGGGGGGAATGATGGGTTGGGATGGAGACTGAGGAAGGGATGGATGAGGAGCCTAAAGGATGGAAATATCCAAAAGGGGAAAGGAGGTGTGGGAAGAAGGGAGAGACATCGGGAATGATGGGAGGGTGAAGAGGGGAGAAGTACCTTTGGGGGGGAAGAGGGCAGGAAAGGTGAGGGGTGTCCTGTCCCTCAAGCCAGGAGTCTGAAGGTCTATGGAGTGCACCCCCCTCCAGCCCGGGGTTGCCTCCTTTTGCCTTTAACTCGATCCGTTCACTTTTCTCGCCGACTCGACCATCGCTGCGGCTGCTGTCACGAAGTTATCACACACACACACACACACACACACACACACACAAATAAATAAATAAATAAATAAATAAATAAATAACAGGGCGGCTGGGAAGCGAGTCCTTGCAATGCCAACTCAGCAAATTTCCATTGCCTGCCCCCCCACCAATTACCCCAGTCCTCTCCTCTTCTGCACTAGGGAGGGAGGGATGGAGATACTTTGCTTTTGAAGGCATAAAGCTCACTTGCAGGATGGAGGCTGCCAGGGAGGAGAGAAACACAATAAACCAGCTCCAAAGCCCCGCCACACACACATGCTCAGGCGCAATGGATTGGCTTTCACACCAGCAAGAACATCCCGCTCTGCCCACTACGGCAGCACATGCGGAGCCCTACGCATTCCCACACATCTCCGGACACGCACCGGGACCTCCAAGGCAGGAAGCGGCCAATGTGGACACTGCGGCGCCCTGAGCGCATCGAGAGGGCTTCCCACGCTACTTCAGCAGGGTCAGCTCCTGCGATAAAGCCTCCTGATCACCGCGCTCCCCACTTCCCATACCGTGGAGACTTAGCTGAGCACTGACAACTTCATCACACCAATCGGGGGGATTAGGGGAGGGGGAGCAAAACATCTCCTCTCTTGCTTTGAAGCAGCTACAAACAACTGAGAGAGAGAGACGAGGGGAGGAAGATCGACATCCCAGACCCAAACTGTCCAAAATTGCGTCCAACAGCGCGGGGGAGAGAAGGGGCTTTTCCTTACCTGCTCCGGGTGAGATGCGCTGCTCAGGAGTAGGAGCCAGTGCCGGAATGCGTCAAGTCGCCTTGCAGCAGCATCCAAAAAAACCAAACCAAAACAAAAACCGCAGCGGCAAACTCAGCCCTCCTCCTCTTGCGCCCCTCTTAATAATACAGCGATCGCTTTACAGGGCTGCCTGCGAGACACTGAAATATTCATACAGTGTCTTAGGCTGCACCAAGGGCGAGTGGGTTTAATTAGTTTCTGCCGAGAACCGCAGTCGGGGGGTGGTGGGGAGGGGGGGAGAGGTGGTGGTGGAAAAGAGTACAAAGTACCTTTTTCAAAAGGTTCGAGTTAATAAATAAAATAAAGGAGTCCTAGATAGCTGCTGGTTCTCCTGCTCTCTT